CTGAACAACATTGTTCTTGTACAGTCTTTTGAGCACCCCTTGACAGCAGTAGATCCTTGTTTGGTTGAAGGGATAAAACCAAGAACACCTCTTAAACAATACACCCAAACCCAAGCAATATAAATTCACAGATGGGCTGCATGACAAACAGCAGGGGAAAGAAACTGCACCATTTTTTCAGCAGCATTTCTTATAATTCTTTACCTGAAGAGGTACTTCCTTCCCTGTGTGTCTTAGTGGCTTTTTCTTGTCCAAAATTTCACTTTTAATCCCCACTAACACACAGTAGATGACTTGGGCAGTGCCTCAGACTTTACATCCTGGGAGCTTCCATGCTGCATCTCCTCACTTCCCTGGCTTGTTTCCTGAGCTATTCTCCTTCTCAGCACTTCCCCCAAAACCTGAACTCCTGCATCTCACTGGGAACTGCTCACCATCTCCCACAGATGAGATCTGATCCCCAAAGATCCCTGCCACCTTTGTGCAAATAGACCCTTGGGTTGGTTGGTCCATTGTTTTGTGACTCTCTCTACATTTAGAGGGATTTTTTTAACTTATTTATTTATTTTAAAGCTACTACATCACCGTGTAACACAACACTGACACCTTTACAGTTTCTATTTCAGGGTTGTTTGATTTTTATCCTTTGTTATTGCTTGGCAAACCATTACCAAAGAACAAGATTAAAGCAAGTGGTCTAAACAGCGTGCACATCAGCAGCGTGTCCATAAACATGGGTGCTATTCACTCCTTCAGAAATTAAATTACCTTATACATGGACTTTTTAATAGGACCTCTAAGCACTTTTACCAGCATTAGAATTTGCTTTTTCCTTTTTTTAAAGTAGAGCAAAAGCATAAATATGAAACATGAAAGAACGCCTTCATTAATCAAAATACAGTTTAAGGCTCTCAAACCCATCTTAACTTTACCAATATATTTAACAAAAAAAAAAAAAAGAAGCAACAAATATCTATCTTCTTTTAAACCATGCCACTCTAGCTGCTACTGATATGAAAAATACCTCCAGAAGGAAGCAAGGAGCTGAGTGCAACTGATAGAGAACATTCTGCCTGAACTCTCAGGGAACCTAGGGGGAAAAAAAATCCTTTGAATTTATGCATTTCAAGAAGGTATTCATTCCAACTGCCCCAGAAAAGAAAGGAAACAGGAGTCTGAGGGAAGAAGTAAAGACAACCCACTGAGAACAATCATTAACCTGTGAAACTTCCATGTTTTTTCCCATGAACCAGGGCAGCAAATGACACAGGTAGAGGAGGCAGCATAGCCCAGGTCAGCATCCACTGTTCCCATTAGAGAGGTGATATGAAACTCACACACACAGAGCAGTTTGCAGCCACATGGTCCATTATAAGCCAGGTTAAGAACAACCTAAAAACATCCAAAGGCAAATAGAATCACTGCAACAGAATATAAGATCACAGCCTTAAACTAGGAGCTTTTTTTCAGTTAGGTGCTGCAGTATTGCAGTGGCAGATGCTTTATGGATTCCCACCACAAGAAAGAGGACCAAAAAGGGCACTTGTGGAAGAAATGAGCCTTAATTAAACCCTCTTTTCACCTAGCCAAAATGCAGCAGCCAATTTGACCCAACCAAGGGCAGGTGTTGAGTGGCACCTCCATGCTCTTCATCCCAGGGTATTCTCAAACTCTGCTGAGATGAAGCCAAGATCTCATACCTTTAATTAACTGACAGCACATTCCTCAAACTGGCTGCACTTTCCAGAAATCAAACATTTTAACTGTAGGCAAACCACAAAAATATTAGAGTTATTTACCTCATTTTTCTTCTCCTGGAAAAGAAAAATAAATCAGACAACTATTGGGTTGGTTTCAACCCAACTGCTTCAATTAATGGGGCTTTGGCTTCAAATAATGGGGCTTTTGCTCCAATTAATGGGGCTTTTACTCTTTCTTGAGATATATTAAACCACATTCCAATGAAATGAAGCCCAACTAGAAAGACAATCTCCTTTTTTTTACAAAGAGGGAGGTTGTCCAGTCTATCAGATCCATACATTAAAACTAGACAGACCTCACCCAAAGCCAAAAAAAAAACCCTGATCCCAAAACCAACAAAAATCTCACCACTCCAGCCTGTGTCCCATCTTGGATCCAAAATTATGGGCAAAATTGCTAACACATGGGAAACAGCAACTATGATGCATCCACTAGTCATATTAGGGAGAAAAATAAACAGATGGAAGAAAAAACACTGCAAAGAAGGGGAACTAAAAGTTGGTTGAGACCAGTTCTGAACTCTGAGGAATCTTCTAAAAATTAGAACTAGACAAGGATTAAGAAGATGATGTTAAAGTCTATTAAAGTATATTTGAAGTACAAAATTGTTACTTCCCAGAAGGAGCAACATCTTCTCTCTACACACAAAACCAGACACATATACTCAATTTGTATGAATTTACATTCATGCTGAACTGCAATGAGAACAAACTGAAGGGTATGTTGCCTGAAGATTGAATGGAAAAAAAAACCCAGCAATTTAATTTTGAAATATCAGGGGAAGGGGAAAGATGGATGATCAAAAAAAAAAACCCACGACCTATCAAAACCAAACCACCACCACACCACCCAGCAAATGCAACCAAGCAGAGCTGATAATTCTCCATTTGTTCCATTCCATATGCATTAAAAAAAACAAAGAGATTTTTTTTTCCCCCCAAAGATCAAAGAATATTCCAGACTGCTGATTTTTATCTTCCTGGCAACTAGAATAATTTGATCCATTTGGCAAAAGTGATGAAAGTTGTAACACTTTCCTCAAACTGCCAAATGCCACAAGAAAAGCTTTGGGCATCTGCCACTAATCTAAAACACTCTCACTGCATCAGTCCCCTTGCAAGGATTCCTAAACACTCAAAATGTTTACAACTGTAGGAGGAAAAATCACAGAATCACAGAATGTTGGGGGTTGGAAGGGACCTCTAGAGATCATTGAGTCCAATCCCCCTGCCAGAGCAGGACCATCCAGTCTAGGGATGTTGGTGAAAACTGATGCTGAAGCAAAGCCCAGAACATTTCAATAGCCATAGAATAACAGAGAATCACAGAATGTTAGAGGTTGGAAGGGACCTCGAGAGATCATTGAGCCCAACCCCCCTGCCAGAGCAGGACCATCCAGTCTAGGGCAGGTCACATAGGAATGAATCCAGATGGGTCTTAAAAGTCTCCAAGGAAGGAGACTCCACAACCTCCCTGCGGAGCCTGTTCAGTGCTCTGGAACCCTGACAGTAAAGTTCTTCCTTGTGTTGAGGTGGAAATTCCTGTGCTCCAACTTGAACCCATCCCCTTGTCCTATTGCAGAGGTTGTTCATGAAGATGTTGAACAGGACTGGACCCAGCACTGATCCCTGGGGGACTCCACTAGTTCCAGGTCTCCAGCTGGACTTGGCACCACTGATCACCACTCTTTGGTGTCTGTTGTGTAGCCAATTCTCAACCCATCTCACTCCCTGTTCCTCTAGCTCCTATTTCCTGAGCTTGCTCAGGAGGATGTTATGGGGGACGGTGTCAAACACCTTGCTAAGGTCAAGGTAGACTCCATCAACTGGTCTCCCTGCATCCACCCATTCAGTCACCACATCTTAGAATGCTATCACATTAGTCAAGCATGATTTCCCCTTGGTAAATCATGGTAAAAATGGGCCAATTACTTCAAGCCCAGCTCAATGTTACAAGTCATAGTCAGCAGGGAGTTGGTCATCATTCCATCTGTCTGAGGAAAGAACAAGAGAAAGGAAGAAAGATGCTACTGCATTTTTGGTGCATACATGCCACCACAAAAATGCTACTGCAAAAGAAGCCACAAGAAAAAGCATCTACTGAGTCTGGGCCAAAAGGAACTGTGATGGTAATGCCACAGTAAGCCACTGCACCATCCTGTCATTGTACAAGTGATGTCTGACTGCAGCTACAAAGAGGAGAGAGAGCAGGGCAGTCATAGCAGAGGGAAAAGAGGAAAGTGAAGACGTGTTCCAAAAGGCACTGATCTTCTTGAGATCTTGCAGGAAAACCTCCCTTTGTGATTCTCCTCAGAGCCACCTTTCTACCCTAGAAAGGAAGGACAGTGTTTTATCCAAGTCCTGCAGGAGCTAGAGCATCTGAATGCCACAGGACCCATCCACTCCTGGCTGTAAGTTGTGAGCTGTGGTGGATAAAAGAAACCAAGGACCTTTGACAGATCAGTTCTGCAGTATTTGGAAGACACTGAGCATAGGAAGGACTACCCTAGAAGGAAGATCCAAGTCCTGCAGGAGCTGGAGCATCTGAATGCCACAGGACCCATCCACTCCTGGCTGTAAGTTGTGAGCTGTGGTGGATAAAAGAAACCAAGGACCTTTGACAGATCAGTTCTGCAGTA